GCTCTACTGCTGCTACTGTTACTGCCGCCGCCAGCGCCCTCGTGCGCTCTGCCGCGACCCGCGCCCTCGTGCGCTCTACTGCTGCTACTGTTACTGCCGCGGCCAGCGCCCTCGTGCGCTCTGCCGCGGCCCGCGCCCTCGTGCGCTCTACTGCTGCTACTGTTACTGCCGCGGCCAGTGCCCTCGTGCGCTCTGCCGCGGCCCGCGCCCTCGTGCGCTCTACTGCTGCTACTGCTGCTACTGTTCTGCCGCTGCCAGCGCCCTCGTGCGCTCTCCCGCGGCCCGCGCCCTCGTGCGCTCTGTTCTGCTCTGCCGCCCTTCCTCCCCCCCCCCCCCCCCACCCCCCCGTCGCCCGTCGCGTGGAGGGTGTGGGGGTGGCGGGTGTGGGGGTGCTTGGAGTGTGCTTCCCCCCCCTCCTCCTCCTTTCGCTCCCATTGCTGCAGCTGCCACTGGGGGGGAGGGTGTGAGGGTGAGGGGGAGCCGGGGGAGTGGCGGGGTGGCGGGTGTGAGACCAACCAGCAGCCGTCCCTCCACCTCTCCTCTCTTCCCCCCTCTGCTGCTCCTGCAGCAGTGTGGGGGGGAGGGGGAGGGGGAGGGTGAGGGGATGGAGGGGGTGACCAGCCAGCGCCAGCCCGCCTCCTCTCTCTCCCTGCCGCCCCTCTTGTGGTCGGGGGGGGGAGGAGAGTAAGGGGGTGGCAGAAGTGCCTTGCTGTGGCCTGCCCCTTTGCTGCCGAACCTGTTCTGCTGCCTTGCCTGCTGTTGCTGTTTTCTCTGTCTGTGGTGTACCCCTGCAGGTTGTGTCTTTCACTTAGCTATTCCTGCATGCAGTTACGGGGGGATGTCAGAATTATATATAACTGCATGTAGTTCTAGCTGTAGTGTAGATATTAACTTTATATGTGGTGCACCTCTTTCTTCACTTGTTTGCTATATGTACCCTCTTGCTATAGTGAACACCATTCCATTCTCTCGACTCCCTCCTTGCCACAACCATCTCGATACCCCCTTGGCCTAGGCTACTAAGCCTAGGCCCTACTCCTAACTATGGCTCCTAAACCTAAGCCTAGTTTCCTAGATGCTTAGTGTTCCAACACCACGCGCCCCGAGCGCGTGGCGGGAAGAAAATCGAAGGTCGCGCGCCACGGGGCGCGCGACACACAGTAGGGCAGCGGAAGTAGGTGGGCCCACAGGCCAGGAGCGTAACCGCTCTGATAGCATGTTAGAATAGTAGGCACAAGTAGGAGCCATAGCTAGGGTTTACCTAGCTAGGCAAGAGAGAAATGAGCAAAGGAGGATTTGCACTAGCAAGCAGGTGGATACAAATAGGAAACCCTAAGGGGCTGTACTCGCTATAGAGTACCCCACTGCAGGCTAGACAAGCATTATATTCTGACAAAATCGACCCAAAGAAGCTGGATACGGTAAAAGCGTGGCATCCCCCGACGAACATCACGGAGCTGCAGAGCTTTTTAGGGTTCGTTAATTATGTGCGTCGGTTCGTCCCCGATATGGCACGGTTAATTGCCCCACTGACGGATTTACTGCGGAAGGGGGTCGCTTTTACGTGGGGGGAGAAAGAGCATGCTGCCTTCTCTGCCCTGAAAAATGTTCTCTGTTCACCGCCCGTCCTGCGCATCGCCGACCCACACCGCCCATTCGAAGTAGTTACCGACGCAACCGATATCGCCATCGGAGCCGTACTGCTACAGGATTTCGGCAATGGCCTACAGCCTATCGCATACGAGTCACGAAAACTGCATCCGCCCGAGAAAAATTACACGATACACGACCGCGAAATGCTTGCGATCGTGCACGCGTTCAAAGTATGGCGCTGTTATTTGACTGGCGCGGACGTGACAGTACGGATAGACCATAAATCACTACAGTACCTTCGCGCACAGCCACACCTCAACCCACGACAGATTCGCTGGCTCGATTTCCTCGAGTCCAATTTTCACTACACAGTCACTTACAAAAAGGGAGCCTCGAACATCACCGACGCACTGACCCGCCCCACTGCCCAGATCCACGCAATACTACTCGCCCAGACAAGCCCGCTACTGACAGGCCTATTCACCCACGGGTACCAAACGGATCCATTCTTCACTGGAGGAAATTCGCAGCAGTTCGCAACAACAAGGGGAATCTATTACGTAAAAACCGGGACGGACCGCATTTGGGTGCCTGGGTATACACTGCTACGGGAATTACTGTTACAGGAGGCAAACGACGGAGTTACCTCGGGGCATTTCGGAGTAGAAAAAACACGGCAGCAGCTGCAGCGGTATTATTACTGGCCCGAAATGTTGACCGACGTACAACGACATGTGGCATCGTGTCCCACTTCTCAGCTCATGAAATCATCACGACAGCGGCCGGCGGGACAGTTGTAGCCGATACCACCCCCAGAGCGTGCTTGGCAGCAGGTGACGATGGACTTCGTCACGGGATTACCAGCCGGGGCGAGTGGGAACGACGCGATCCTGGTCGTCGTCGATCGACTGACGAAAATGGCACATTTCGCAGCCTGCAAAAAATCATCACAGCCGAAGAAACAGCACGCCTCTTCATCTCCACCGTCGTTCGACTGCACGGGATACCAGCCGCGATCATCAGCGACCGCGACACGAAATTCACCAGCAACTTCTGGCGGAACCTGTGGCAGCAGTTCGGCACGCGACTGCAGTTCAGTTCATCATACCACCCTGAAACCGACGGACAGACAGAACGGACAAATCAGACCATGGAACAGCTCATCAGGGCCACGTGTGACGACCCGACCACGTGGGAACAGCAACTGCCATTAATCGAATTCGCGTACAACAACTCGCCATCCGCCACGACCCAACAGTCACCATTCTACCTAAACTAAGGACAAGACCCGACAGTACCCATGACCCCGAATCCCGACAACCCAGTACCACGAGCACAACAGTTCGCCGAAAGATTACAAGCGGCACGGACCCGGGCAGCAGACGCAATAAAAAAATCGAACATCATCGCTAAACGCAACGCCGACCGCCACCGCAGACCTGTCACTTACCAGCCCGACGACTTAGTTTTACTTGACACTCAGAACCTCCGACTGCCCATCACCCCAAAACTCCGCCCCCGATACTGCGGGCCATTTCGCATAAGCCACATGCTTACACCCGTCACCGCCCACCTCCTCCTCCCTGCTGACTGGTATGTCAGCCCCTCATTCCACGTCAGCCTGCTTCGCCCTTACGTCCCGTCCACGAGCCAACTGCCACGCAATCGCCCAGCCAGCATGACAAGACCACCAACTGAACCAATCATCACCCCCGAGAAAATCCTGAGTCACAGAGTTCGCGACCCTCGAGGAGCCCGAAGGATCGAGTTCTTACTCCGCTGGAAGGACCGTACACCCACCGAGGACAATTGGGTTCCCCTGGACTGAATCGAAAACCACCCCTTCCTCACCGAGTATCTGCGCAGCCGAAATTTCAGGGATGTACACGCACTTTCGTAAGGAGGACCTCCTTAGGGGGGGGGGGGTAGTGTAAGGAAAATCCCTTTTCCTTACTTCGCATCCCTGCTCAACGCGTACATCACTGTAGCACCACAGTCAGCACCGTTACCACTCGCAACCCTCGCATCGACAATCCGCCCGCCACCTTCGCACGTCGACCTCACGGCTCGACGGGTAACCCGCGCTCCGGGCCTCCGCTTCGACACTTTTCCCAACCTCAGTCCCAGGCCCGTCGCGCGACAACCACAGTCCATTACCGTTACCACTGTAGTTTCGCTATATATCCTTCGCTCATGCCTTCGCTCATTGTACTCTTGCTTCGATAGTGCAATTCTCGTTCTTTCACTCAATTGCACTCGTAACACTTACCGTATCACCCCGGATATAAGCGCAGGCCTATGTTAAGCGCATGCGCTTATATCTGGAGCAATGCGCTTATGGCCGATCCTCAATTATAAGCGCACCCCTTATAAATCCCTGATTTATTATAAGCGCATGTATAAACATATTTCAAAAAAACGGATTAAAACAGTAACGACTTCCCGTTTTGAAGCGAGTCCACATCCACTTCTACTCTGTTTGACTCCCTCGAGGGCGGGCTCGCTCAGGAAAAGCGCAACAGCGCGAAGTTGACCTGACAGGGGGGCTCGGGAACACCTGTTGTCTGTGCGCTGCGAGCGAGCGACTGCAGGCTATTGGTCGTACACTAGGGCAAGCCTGTGCGATGCGAACGAGCGACTGCAAGCTATTGGTTCGTACACTCTGCTGGGGCGAGCATGACACATTCCTATGCGAAAGTGACGTGTCCTTGCCCTTGTGCGCCGGCAGAGAATCGCCCTCGCGCGATTCTGATTCAGAACACTCCACACATTTCGATTTGAATGAAATTGCAAGACTCTAATGCACAGTTTGGTGCGTTTATAACATATTTCTGTGTTTGTTATTATATAAGCGCATGCGCTTATAATTTTGACTCATTTATAAGCGCACCCCCCTAAAAAACACTGTTTTATTATAAGCGCAGATACGCTTATATCCGGGGTATTACGGTATATCCGGGCGATGACGGAATGTTTTCTTTCAAGATATGGAAAAAAAATGCAGTTAGCAATCTCTGCTGCGATGAGCACTACTTCTGTCAATTGTCCACGTTAATGTCGAGCACTAATGTGATGTAAAACTTGAGCATTGTTGCTGTGGCTGACTCCCTAGTTCAAGATAGTCGCTGTCTTCTGAGTCGACTCCCTAGTCCAGGGCAATCTTGAGTAGCCCCATCAGAACAGCAACTGGTGTGAGGAACCCCCCCCAACCCCCACCCCGACCCCCCCCACACACACACACCCTAGTCCAAATCCACTATCTTCACCCCCTTCCCTGAAATCTCCTGCACCAGGCTCGCCCCATCGGCTGTGGCTGGTGTCTTCTGAGTCGACTCCCTAGTCCAGGGCACTCTTGCAGAGCTCCATCAGAACAGCGACTGGTGTAAGGAAACCCTTAGCCGCCCTTCCTAGTCCAAATCCACTATCTCCACCCTCTCTCCTGGAATCTCCTGCACCAGGCTAGCTCCATATGCTGTCGCTGGTGTCTGCATGGGCCACGGGGAAGAGAGACACACGTTGAGCTGATACGGAAACGAGGAGATCGGGAGTTCTAGTTGAATATTGCTTCGAGAAAAGTGGAATAAGGCGTCTGTGTGGGTGAAGGAGGCAATTGAATCGATGATATGAGACTCAGGAAACAGTGAGTTGAGTGCGAAAGAGGCAATCTACGTGGAATGATAAATCCCATTCCCAATGCACTTCAAGTCACATCACAGGGTAAATGTATATCCAATGGTGTTACCTGGTAACCAGGCTTGAACTCCCCTTGCAACACCCTCCGTGCCACTTCCACACTGCAGCTCGCCGTAAAGTGGTACCCTGTGAGGTGCCCAAGGGCAAGGAGGCAGGATATGGAAGGAGGAGAGGTAGAGAAACTTTCAGAGGCGTCTATTACATCCCTCGGTGCCACTTCCACACTGCAGCTCGCTGTGAGGTGGTAACATGAATGTGCCCAAGGGAAAAGGAGGCAGGAGACGGAAGGTGCAGAAGAGAAAATGGAAAAAAAGACTCAGAGGACGCTTCAGAGGTGTCTCTGAGTTCACTCAATGCCACTTTCCCAATGCAGGTACGACGGACAAAACATGGAGAAAAGTGGGCGATTGGGGGGATACCCTGCATCATGCCATCATGCCCGCTACGAATTGACAGAGTAGTTTGTGTCAAGTACAATAGTCCTTGCCTGAATGCGGTCCACATAAAGGCAGGGAGACTCTTGGAGCAGCAGGAAGACTCTTGGAGCAGCACCAAGACCACTGTTTTGACTCACCTTTCCCTAATGTCACACTTTTGAGACGTCACGAAGCACAATCACCAATGTTTGGCTCACATTCCCCTACAATCCTCTTTTGAGACGTCACGAAGCACAATCACCAATGTTTGGCTCACATTCCCCTACAATCCTCTTTTGAGACGTCACGAAGCACAATCACCAATGTTTGGCTCACATTCCCCTACAATCCTCTTTTGAGACGTCACGAAGCACAATCACCAATGTTGGCTCACATTCCCCTACAATCCTCTTTTGAGACGTCACGAAGCACAATCACCAATGTTTGGCTCACATTCCCCTACAATCCTCTTTTGAGACGTCACGAAGCACAATCACCAATGTTTGGCTCACATTCCCCTACAATCCTCTTTTGAGACGTCACGAAGCACAATCACCAATGTTGGCTCACATTCCCCTACAATCCTCTTTTGAGACGTCACGAAGCACAATCACCAATGTTTGGCTCACATTCCCCTACAATCCTCTTTTGAGACGTCACGACTCACGAAGCACAATCACAATTGTTTTAACTCACCTTCCCCTACAATTACAGAGGCCCTGTGCCTCTTGTTGCTGGTCGTGTCTACCACCTCCCCTGCACATGCCATACCCGTGTTAACCCTGTGACCCTGCAGCAAGAGCAGCAGGAGCGGGAGGGAGGACAAGGTGGGTCAACATTCCATGGCATATCATGGCATGGCATGGCATGGCATGGCATGGCATGGCACGGCATCGCATGTGCCTCTTGTTGCTGGCCGTATCAACGACCTCCCCCGCACATGCTATGCCTGTGTTAACCCTGTGACCTTGCACAGCAGAGGGGTTGAAGGAGAAGGAGTGACGACAAGGAGAGTTCACATGGCATGGCATGTGGCATGCGCGCTCTTGTTACAGGGAAAAAAGAACCTCACAAGGATACTGCTGAAGCACCACTATAGGATGCTGAAGCACCACTATAGGATGCTGAAGCACCACTATAGGATGCTGAAGCACCACTATAGGATGCTGAAGCACCACTATAGGATGCTGAAGCACCACTATAGGATGCTGAAGCACCACTATAGGATGCTGAAGCACCACTATAGGATGCTGAAGCACCACTATAGGATGCTGAAGCACCACTATAGGATGCTGAAGCACCAGTATAGGATGCTGAAGCACCACTATAGGATGCTGAAGCACCACTATAGGATGCTGAAGCACCACTATAGGATGCTGAAGCACCACTATAGGATGCTGAAGCACCACTATAGGATGCTGAAGCACCACTATAGGATGCTGAAGCACCACTATAGGATGCTGAAGCACCAGTATAGGATGCTGAAGCACCACTATAGGATGCTGAAGCACCACTATAGGATGCTGAAGCACCACTATAGGATGCTGAAGCACCACTATAGGATGCTGAAGCACCACTATAGGATGCTGAAGCACCACTATAGGATGCTGAAGCACCACTATAGGATGCTGAAGCACCACTATAGGATGCTGAAGCACCACTATAGGATGCTGAAGCACCACTATAGGATGCTGAAGCACCACTATAGGATGCTGAAGCACCACTATAGGATGCTGAAGCACCACTATAGGATGCTGAAGCACCACTATAGGATGCTGAAGCACCAGTATAGGATGCTGAAGCACCACTATAGGATGCTGAAGCACCACTATAGGATGCTGAAGCACCACTATAGGATGCTGAAGCACCACTATAGGATGCTGAAGCACCACTATAGGATGCTGAAGCACCACTATAGGATGCTGAAGCACCACTATAGGATGCTGAAGCACCACTATAGGATGCTGAAGCACCACTATAGGATGCTGAAGCACCACTATAGGATGCTGAAGCACCACTATAGGATGCTGAAGCACCACTATAGGATGCTGAAGCACCACTATAGGATGCTGAAGCACCACTATAGGATGCTGAAGCACCACTATAGGATGCTGAAGCACCACTATAGGATGCTGAAGCACCACTATAGGATGCTGAAGCACCACTATAGGATGCTGAAGCACCACTATAGGATGCTGAAGCACCACTATAGGATGCTGAAGCACCACTATAGGATGCTGAAGCACCACTATAGGATGCTGAAGCACCACTATAGGATGCTGAAGCACCACTATAGGATGCTGAAGCACCAGTATAGGATGCTGAAGCACCAGTATAGGATGCTGAAGCACCACTATAGGATGCTGAAGCACCAGTATAGGATGCTGAAGCACCACTATAGGATGCTGAAGCACCACTATAGGATGCTGAAGCACCACTATAGGATGCTGAAGCACCACTATAGGATGCTGAAGCACCAGTATAGGATGCTGAAGCACCAGTATAGGATGCTGAAGCACCACTATAGGATGCTGAAGCACCACTATAGGATGCTGAAGCACCACTATAGGATGCTGAAGCACCACTATAGGATGCTGAAGCACCACTATAGGATGCTGAAGCACCACTATAGGATGCTGAAGCACCACTATAGGATGCTGAAGCACCACTATAGGATGCTGAAGCACCACTATAGGATGCTGAAGCACCACTATAGGATGCTGAAGCACCACTATAGGATGCTGAAGCACCACTATAGGATGCTGAAGCACCACTATAGGATGCTGAAGCACCACTATAGGATGCTGAAGCACCACTATAGGATGCTGAAGCACCACTATAGGATGCTGAAGCACCAGTATAGGATGCTGAAGCACCACTATAGGATGCTGAAGCACCAGTATAGGATGCTGAAGCACCACTATAGGATGCTGAAGCACCACTATAGGATGCTGAAGCACCAGTATAGGATGCTGAAGCACCACTATAGGATGCTGAAGCACCACTATAGGATGCTGAAGCACCACTATAGGATGCTGAAGCACCACTATAGGATGCTGAAGCACCACTATAGGATGCTGAAGCACCACTATAGGATGCTGAAGCACCACTATAGGATGCTGAAGCACCACTATAGGATGCTGAAGCACCACTATAGGATGCTGAAGCACCACTATAGGATGCTGAAGCACCAGTATAGGATGCTGAAGCACCAGTATAGGATGCTGAAGCACCACTATAGGATGCTGAAGCACCACTATAGGATGCTGAAGCACCACTATAGGATGCTGAAGCACCACTATAGGATGCTGAAGCACCACTATAGGATGCTGAAGCACCACTATAGGATGCTGAAGCACCAGTATAGGATGCTGAAGCACCACTATAGGATGCTGAAGCACCACTATAGGATGCTGAAGCACCACTATAGGATGCTGAAGCACCACTATAGGATGCTGAAGCACCACTATAGGATGCTGAAGCACCACTATAGGATGCTGAAGCACCACTATAGGATGCTGAAGCACCAGTATAGGATGCTGAAGCACCACTATAGGATGCTGAAGCACCAGTATAGGATGCTGAAGCACCACTATAGGATGCTGAAGCACCACTATAGGATGCTGAAGCACCACTATAGGATGCTGAAGCACCACTATAGGATGCTGAAGCACCACTATAGGATGCTGAAGCACCACTATAGGATGCTGAAGCACCACTATAGGATGCTGAAGCACCACTATAGGATGCTGAAGCACCACTATAGGATGCTGAAGCACCACTATAGGATGCTGAAGCACCACTATAGGATGCTGAAGCACCACTATAGGATGCTGAAGCACCACTATAGGATGCTGAAGCACCACTATAGGATGCTGAAGCACCACTATAGGATGCTGAAGCACCACTATAGGATGCTGAAGCACCACTATAGGATGCTGAAGCACCACTATAGGATGCTGAAGCACCACTATAGGATGCTGAAGCACCACTATAGGATGCTGAAGCACCACTATAGGATGCTGAAGCACCACTATAGGATGCTGAAGCACCACTATAGGATGCTGAAGCACCACTATAGGATGCTGAAGCACCACTATAGGATGCTGAAGCACCACTATAGGATGCTGAAGCACCACTATAGGATGCTGAAGCACCACTATAGGATGCTGAAGCACCACTATAGGATGCTGAAGCACCACTATAGGATGCTGAAGCACCACTATAGGATGCTGAAGCACCACTATAGGATGCTGAAGCACCACTATAGGATGCTGAAGCACCACTATAGGATGCTGAAGCACCACTATAGGATGCTGAAGCACCACTATAGGATGCTGAAGCACCACTATAGGATGCTGAAGCACCACTATAGGATGCTGAAGCACCACTATAGGATGCTGAAGCACCACTATAGGATGCTGAAGCACCACTATAGGATGCTGAAGCACCAGTATAGGATGCTGAAGCACCACTATAGGATGCTGAAGCACCACTATAGGATGCTGAAGCACCACTATAGGATGCTGAAGCACCACTATAGGATGCTGAAGCACCACTATAGGATGCTGAAGCACCACTATAGGATGCTGAAGCACCACTATAGGATGCTGAAGCACCACTATAGGATGCTGAAGCACCACTATAGGATGCTGAAGCACCACTATAGGATGCTGAAGCACCACTATAGGATGCTGAAGCACCACTATAGGATGCTGAAGCACCACTATAGGATGCTGAAGCACCACTATAGGATGCTGAAGCACCACTATAGGATGCTGAAGCACCACTATAGGATGCTGAAGCACCACTATAGGATGCTGAAGCACCACTATAGGATGCTGAAGCACCACTATAGGATGCTGAAGCACCACTATAGGATGCTGAAGCACCACTATAGGATGCTGAAGCACCACTATAGGATGCTGAAGCACCACGTATAGGATGCTGAAGCACCACTATAGGATGCTGAAGCACCACTATAGGATGCTGAAGCACCACTATAGGATGCTGAAGCACCACTATAGGATGCTGAAGCACCACTATAGGATGCTGAAGCACCACTATAGGATGCTGAAGCACCACTATAGGATGCTGAAGCACCACTATAGGATGCTGAAGCACCACTATAGGATGCTGAAGCACCACTATAGGATGCTGAAGCACCACTATAGGATGCTGAAGCACCACTATAGGATGCTGAAGCACCACTATAGGATGCTGAAGCACCACTATAGGATGCTGAAGCACCACTATAGGATGCTGAAGCACCACTATAGGATGCTGAAGCACCACTATAGGATGCTGAAGCACCACTATAGGATGCTGAAGCACCACTATAGGATGCTGAAGCACCAGTATAGGATGCTGAAGCACCACTATAGGATGCTGAAGCACCACTATAGGATGCTGAAGCACCACTATAGGATGCTGAAGCACCACTATAGGATGCTGAAGCACCACTATAGGATGCTGAAGCACCACTATAGGATGCTGAAGCACCACTATAGGATGCTGAAGCACCACTATAGGATGCTGAAGCACCACTATAGGATGCTGAAGCACCACTATAGGATGCTGAAGCACCACTATAGGATGCTGAAGCACCACTATAGGATGCTGAAGCACCACTATAGGATGCTGAAGCACCACTATAGGATGCTGAAGCACCACTATAGGATGCTGAAGCACCACTATAGGATGCTGAAGCACCACTATAGGATGCTGAAGCACCACTATAGGATGCTGAAGCACCACTATAGGATGCTGAAGCACCACTATAGGATGCTG